GGGTCTAGGGGGTATGCGCAAGTAGGTGTACGTATCCGCGTCGGCAGCAGTTGTGATATTGGTATTCGGATACAGTGCCAGCATCCAACTTGATGCTTTTGCATTGTTCCTGAAGCTTTCTTGTACCCAAGCCCTGCGCCTTTGTTCCGGAAACCTACACGTCGTACAAACCCAATATGTTTGTCAACCACCCGGGGGGTAGTTACCAGGTGGGTACCTTGAAGGACACATAAATCAACCCCATATAGAACCATTGTCTTTATACCAGCGTCATATGGATCTCATGGTAACTTGCCACCAGGGACCGCTAAACCCTACATCCTAAAGCCTACGCCCTAAGCCTAGGCCGTAAACCGTGTGGCGCTGGCTCAAAGGGCAGAACCTTTTCCACGATCTATCCGATACTTGTTCGGCGTGCGCCTTGCCTAGAGGGACTCAAATAGGGCCCCAAACAGGGAACCCAAGAATGTAGGGCTTATAACCCTAAACCCTAAACCGCGTGAATGTGGGGCTTAGTGTTTAGGTTGGGAACCCCAAGACCGGGTTTGGGGGGGTTTAGCTAGAAATCATAGGAATATAAGTACCTTGTTAGGCGAATTCCTATCATACGCCTACTATATTCTTGGGGTTCCCTGTTGGGGGTCCCCAACCTTTCATTGCCTGATTTGAGGAGTGATTAGGGATCTTTCTTGAGAACATAGCCCTTCAAAGAATGTGCGGGTTGCTTTTCTTAGGGATTCTTTCTTTGGGCTCCTATGCCAAGGACTAATTATAGTATAGCCGGGGTATATACTGGGTATCTTCATATTTGGAGATTACGTAGTTTTCACACTCTTCATTCTCTCAAGCCCCCCGCCCGATTCATCGACCAGAAGTGCATGGTTCTGATGGCAGGAATGGCGTTCTACTAACCTTGGCCGCGACAAGCCATTCCAAGCTAATGGCGCAAATGTTAGCGTTTAGGGTTTGGGGTATTCATAGAGTTATCAAATGTTAGCCACATATGCAAGACCTCATGGGGGCTAATCAAAATCGCTGTCCAGCAGACCATGCTATGTTAGCCAGTATGAGAGGCAGGACTTTGTCTTCAGAAGCCAGCGTCCCTACATAAGCCCTATAGCCTTTTTGGAGCAACCCTCACATTTTGTTGCAAAAGGAACCGAGATGACACACAGATCAACCGGCCTAGGAGCGCAAGCCTCAGTCTGGACTGTAGAAAGGGTTATATAAGGACTTATAGCAGTATGTAAGTGTGTATACATATATATATATGTACATACGACGGCTTTAGGGCCTTAGGTGGGCCTCCCACCCACTAAAAATCGGGAATGGTAGTCATACTGAGGCCCCTTGAATTCTTGTTTTAGCGTTTTATCAACCCTGGAAACGAGCGGGATAACTTGAAGTGAGTTTGTGCGGCTGTTCGGCGACGAGTTCTGCAATAAGTCTTCTGCTTCTACCGGTATTGTTTTGCGTCTGGTACTGCACTACAACTGCCACCTTCGCCACTAGTACAGGTGTTTCAGTCACTTGCAGAGCGGCCGCTGTCACTTGCGGGTGTTGTGGAGACATCGCAGAATTCTTTTGCCGCCGAATGTCCGCATAAGCGGTTTCAGAAGGTATGTTATTTGGGAGCTTCTCAAAGTATCCCTACAGACGCTTCAATGAAGTTCATGAACCATTCCTAATCCCCGTCTTATCTTGCGTATCCCTGCAATCCCGAAGTGACCACCTACTCTGAGAAACCTCCACAGACATCCGAATTGAAGCCCCAAAGTATGGTGATTGTTGCAATTCTCTGTTAAAACCTTTCATATTAAAACCCAATATGATGCAACACATCATGATTTTCAACAATATCCAAACAAGGAATCAGATCCCTGGAGCATGTCCTCCTTATGGGTTTAGGGTTTAGGGGTTTAGGGTTTAGGGATATAGCCTTAGATATCATGAGCCGTATTATCAGGGGGTCCAGAAGGGAAAAGCGGAGCTTTTGGAATTCGCACACTCAATACCCTACAGAACCCTGAACCCGAACCTCCAAACAACTATCTCATTCCTAACCCACAAAAAGAGTTGCCTGCTTGAGGTCATTTCCTGGCTGTTGCTGCTCCCTCTGCTTTTCACAAGGCAGGCTTTCGGAGCTTCTGGAATACAGCAATTCCCAAACCCCAACCCTAAACCCTAAATCCCAAACTGCGTGGGGTTTTGGGGATTGGGCTCATGCATCCTTGAGAATTGGTGCACGGATACGTTGTAGGGACCATTATGGCGGGAATATGGAGGCAGAGATCGGAGGCGGAGATTCCTTCACATCCATCTAAACCCTATATAAGCCTAAAACGTAATTGCTACTCCCCAAACTCTAAAAAGTGCAGTAATTTGGATCTTTCCTTCACTAAGCACGGGGAAGTTTGGAAGGATTTTCCTAGAGCCGACCATGTTGGGCTTGAGGAAGGACGAGGAGCCGCAATGGCCATTGCATAATCCCCACTAATATGGGTGGTTGTCCAAATTATGGTCCCTTTTTGGGTACCCTAAATATTAGGGGCCGTATTATAATAGGGACCCAAAAAAGGGATCATAAATTTGACAACCACCCATATAATTTCCTTGCACCCCGTAATTACATACCGGTATCTACTATCTTGGGAATATTCATTGTAGGGCGCGTTCTGGGCTTGCTTAGTGGCGTGCTGTGGTTCATTACCGTATCAGGGGCGGGGTATTGCAGGATACCACCAGCATCATGATGCCAAGTAGAAAACCACCTGCTGTAAGAGTGCATGCCCACTTTGGTATGGGTTAGGTGGACCCTTCATCCAGTAATAGTGACCATCACGGATAATCATGGATCCTCTTATATTCCTATCAAACCCTAAACCCTACACATATGTGATGCATTCCAGAGCTAAATGGCTCAGTACGACTTCCGATACCGTATTACCCTGCTCCTTGCATTTCCTCCTGGGTCTGGCTGGGCAACTTGGCAACTGTGCCTCCCCACTCAGTGAGGAGTGAGGGGCTGGGCAGTTTGTATTGCACCAGGTCCGGAACAGTGAGAAAAGCCAAAGGTTTCTGCCGTCGTTAAGCTCGCAATTAAGTTTGCCAGAAGGCCTCGTTCGTCGGGTGTCATGAAGGCCTCGACTGGCTGTTCGAGGGGGCTGGCCGTTTTGGTTATCATGGGTGCTACATTCTGTGACCTGGTCCAGCTCAGCACAGCAACACGGGCAGCGCTGGACACTGGAAATGAAACAGCAGCACTTGTTCAAACCAACGCAGGGCAACTGCGACTGGGTTGCTGTTAAGGATCTTAAATTAAGTTACTATATTGGGGAAACCCTATTATTTACAATATATACCCATTATGGTAACTTAATTTAGGTTCCTTAACAGCAACCCAGGCGACGC